CTCATAGGAAAGGTGCTCCAGCCCTCTTATCATCTTCGTGGCCCTCCTCTGGACCCTCTCCAACTGGTCCATGTCCTCATTTAGTTTGGCTCTATCCACCCCCTCCTCCATCTGAGTGAATTCAGATGAGAGTTGGGTACTTGAAAACCTCGACCCAATCCACATTGTTAAAAAAACATGTAATCAAAGCAGACAACAACAACAGCATCGAGGCAGAGGTGGCAGGGGATGTGTCCACCACGAAATAGTGACTAAACGTTCTGACTGCCATAAAACGCCTGTGTGTTATCTTTTAATACTAGGGGAGAGTGATAAAGAATTCAAATGCTTTCGTTTGGTCACACTGAGCATGAGGAATGTGAAGCAGCCTTTGCCCTCTTCGATGGAGCCGAGTTTCAGTTATTTATGTATTTTAAAATGTTGACTATATGCTAGATGGTACTTGGGGAGCGAGCTTTTAGCTTCAGTTCCTGGCATCAGTGACATTAATGCATTTCTTGGGTTGGCTTAAGCTGATTGTCCTCCAGCCGTACGCATCAGAACATTCCCAAGTGTTCTAAATGGGCTAACGGCCTCGTTAATTTAGCCCTCTCTGTGCATTCTGGCTTAGATAATATTAGTCAGCAAAGAGCTGTGACAAAGAAATAACTTTTCCCAACGGTGTTGATTTGGCCTGAAGCAAGATCCTGAGAACAGGCAGTAGGGTCCTTGTCCTCAAAAAGCATCTGTAACTCAACACTGGTCCAAGGCACGGTGCGTGAGAGCAGAGTGGAGCAGGTACGGCGTTAACCCTGTGCTGTCCAGCCTCCTCTTGGTACTGCTTGGGTTTGTTCTTCCAGCACTGCCAGCTTGTCGCAGTGGCGCCAGCGATACGACTTGCACCAGTAGTGACTCGGATACCGTGAGGTACCGTTTTTGTTCTCAAATTTCTTGTTCCTTTTCCCCCTCAGGCCCTGTCTGCAGAAGAGCAATTCAACCAGCACACAGTACAGTCTCCTTTTGGCTTGCCAGAGCCCTGTCTAGAAGCCGGAGCTATTCTTAGTCCAACCAGGATTACTCCAGTCCCTAAACCCAGAACACAAGCAGCTGGGAAGCCTCAGGAGAGCAGGGGGAGCGGCGAAAGGCAGCCCCCCTCAGCCAGCATGGCCGAGGCCAGCGCTCTGCCTCCCTCACACACTCCCTTTGCCCCCAAGGTGCCACCACGAAGGAAGAAGTCTGCTCCTGCAGCTCTTCACCTGCAAGTTCTCCAGGGCAGTGACAACCCACTTTTCGGTGGGTTAACGTTCAGCTCCACCAGCAATCCTGAGTTCTGCCCCCAGGCTCAGGACACTCGCGTTCCCACGAAATCTGCTCTCCCAGCTTCCACACCCTCTGCCAGCCCAGGAAACACCACAACGAAGCAGTTGGCACCAAACGCTGCAGCATTGATGGCTAACCTTCAGGGCCCTCCTGCACCAGGTGGCCAGCATCCACAGCTCTCAGATACCAGCTCCCTTCCAGAGAACACCAGTCTTTTCGACACGGATTCTTCCTGTCCTCGTTCCATGCAGGCGCCATCAGCTGCTTCTCCAGCACACGCTCCAGGAAATTTAAAACACCCCAGTTTGAAAGATTTCAGTCACTGGGTTACGTTTAGTGATGACGAAGACAGCGGAGCACTGTTAGAAGGGTTCAACAAACTGCTTGGCTTAGAACGAAACCAAAAGACCTTGATGAACACGAACACGGATTTAGAATTGTAAAATTTGTCCCCTTAGTGTTCCTACAGAAATCATAATTATGATGCAAACTGAAAATAAATCTTTGGCACAAAGATTTTTATTTAAGGAAATCAATCATCTGTCCATGCTACATTTCATTCTGGTGTTCACAGATAAAGATCCTGCCCCTGGAGGGAAGTGCAGAGAGTACGTACAACCTAACGTTATCTCCAGCTTGTCTGAAAAGTTCTTTATTCTAAGTTATTTCTTTTTATTAATCCATTCTAAGGTGTTTTATTTCATTTCAGGTACAAATCGTATGTAAGAACATGTCATGATGTTTGAAAAAAGATGTTAAGAAAAACATTTTCCTGTCGAATTTATATATTAATCAATTTCTGTCACTTGAAATAAAGCACCCTTATGTTGAAGAGTTAGACTGCTGCAGTTCTTCTGAACAAACATCCAAAAGAGGAACCTGTACCAGTGTAACTCCAGCAGTGACACTGGTATTGTGCTGCTGCTAAGTTTCTAAGTGGAAACAAGGCTGAGGATCTTCTGGGAGATCTTACTGGAGTACTTCCCTTGTTAAACCCATTCCTGTGTGGAAATGAAAACGAAAGGTGCGCACTCTGTAGAGCAGAACCATGGGAGGTGGTGCCCAGGCAGCAGCAAGGGATGCCAGTTTTCACTCCAGCCCAGGCAAGGGAACCCGTTACAGCAGCCCTGTGCTCAGTGCCGTGCTGCCCGTGGCACTGGGATAACACACCTCAGCCAGTCTGAACCGATGGAGTCGCCGCTCGGAATCTTGAGCTCCCATGAGATGAAAGGCATCCCTAGCTGCTTTTCCACCACCATTCCAAAACACCCTGGCTCTTGGTTCCCATCGAGCCAACGCCAAAGGTCACACTTCACAGTGAAACAGCACGGGGACAGTGAGTGACAGTCCCTTTTTGAAGAGACTGTAGCCTGCTGTGTCGTAGCTATGGAAATACAGAAATACGGTGAACAACTGAGACCTGCGGGTGACACAGGTCATTAGCACAGTAATGTCTTATGCTAAAGACAGTTTAATTATGGAATGGTTGGGGTTGGAAGGGACCTCAAAGATCATCCAGTTCCAACCCCCCTGCCATGGGCAGGGACACCCTCCACTACACCAGGTTGCCCAAAGCCTCATCCAACCTGGCCTTGAAC